AATGAAATAATCACATCCGAAGAATTTTTCATTACGAATTCCTCTGATGCACTATCCAATTATTGAATTCCGTTTTGTGGCAAGAGTAAGTTCGGAGGTAGTTTGGAAATGAAGCGGACTATAATGATTTAATTACACATTTCAATTGATATTGCGCGGACATAACTCGGACCATTGATGATATTATTCAATACTTCAAATAGCACTGCCGTGGCAAATACAATTATGTTCAATCACATTTTCGCATCATTTGAGAATCAAAATTAGAGGTAAAGTAATTAGAAATACAGTTAAACAATTTAATACATGACCATATAGAAAGTACGAGATAGAGAGCATATTTCACGAGAATCACTTATTCGAAAAGATTACTTCTTCTTAAAGACATATTGATATTATAACTATTTGTAAATATAATTAATTAGGTTTACTTTAAACCGAAGCATGAATTTCTAATATAAACATTTAAAATTAAATTCTAAATTAAGTTAAATTCATTAGTCAAGACTATTTTGTGAAAATATTTACTTTCTTAAGCGAGTGTATTCTTTTGTTATTGCTTCTACTCATAACATTCTAATTGGCATAATGGACTTTTAATGCAAAGACTGCTATTAGCAGCCTTTTGTGAAAAGTGCTTCAAATATCATAATATGCATAGTATCTTTTGAGAAAATTTATAAAATTTTTATTGCTTCAAATTATAGACAGAATATTTTAATCGACACAGTCGATTTTGTTTAAGAATACTTGCAATAAATCTCTTTAGCAGAAATTAATCCCAGTAAATTATGTCTCTAGCTTTTTTTATGGCTTCTATTCTTGGACAAAATCTTTACGTGCTAAAATTTCTATGAAAGACTACTAACAATGCACTTTTGCTCTACCACTTTTGAGAAAACTCAAAACATCTTTAATACTGTTTCTTGTAGATATGATGTTTGATTGACACACTTTAAATTCTGTTAAATATGTAATTGTTATATATATCTTTGGATTGACTGCATGAGGAACTTCATTTTGCAACACATTATATTTAGAAAAACTTTTGTTAAAAGTTTAACTTTTAAAAAAAATTCCCCTGCACTACGATTAAATTGGCCTATTCCACAGATACCCATATTTCGATCCCTGTCCCTATCAGCTACGGTCGAAGGTTGATCTATGAAAACTTTTTGGTTCAGGTACATAGTGAGTGGACCGTTACCGCGTCAGCACCAAGGTCAAGGGCTACTTGACCAATCTATTCCAAATATAAATCCTCTGACTTAATTTGCAGAGGCAAATCAGAGGTGTCTAGGTTAATATCTATCTTAACAGGTCACTGGTCTATAGGACGGATGTAGCTAGACTCGGTCTACCGTGTGGTACCTCTTGCAGTGCGCGTCTACCAGTTCTCGAAGAAATGACACCAGAACACTTGATGTATCTTTGTCCTGGTCTGGTCAAAACTAGGTTTAAGATTCTAGGGGCCCTATTCTTCAATTCACTCGGCGATATCTCCAGCATCAGCTTTGGTCAAATTCTTGCCTTTGTAAATGCCTCTGGCTGGTTCTAGTCTGACCTTCTCCCTACTAATCACTACTACGAGGTTTTTGTGGTTTCAAAACGGCTCTTTTGCAAATTGAGGAGGACTCGTCCTCCCTCCACCACAACTAACTAACTAACTACGATAAAATTAAAACTGTAAAGACTGTTCTTACATTATAAGCTCAGCCCTTCAAGTGAATATATAATTAATTTTAATATTAAAAGTGCCTCTTGGTGTTAAAATTTTGATCAAAAGAAGATTTATCTTTGAAATTAGAATTGTGGAATAATAATTGAGGAATACTTTGATAGAAAAACTTCTTTTAAACATATATGCCGCAATAAATGTTTCATTGTGATTGTCATCTTTTAGTAAATTTGTATTGATTTAGGTACATAAGCGCCAACACATACTCAATTATGATTAAGATATCATTTTAAATTAGTATTTTTTTAGTTACATACAAAATGTATATGTATCATTTTGTACAAAGAGACAAAAGTGATAGAAAGAGACAAAAGTGATAGAAAGATACAAAAAAGAGACTTAACAATATAAACCATATTTATGGATAATCTTTATAAATACCTACTATATTCTTTACAAGACAGTTAACCCATTCAAACGTTTGTCAACGTTTTGCCAAGTACCATTTATTTGTCTTTAAAGGTGCTGCAAATAAATTGTAATGGATTAAATGAAATCACTTTAAAATTGCGGCCATAAAGACGTAGCCATAAAATGGATAACTGGTCATTTGCAAACCAACTGACTTTGATCAATCCTTTTGATGATATAAAACAGCATAGGGAAAAGGATATACTGATTAAAATCCAAACTAATATGTACAAAATCAAAAGCGTATACATTAAAATAGTGAATTCTTAAAAGTATACTTCGCCATATTATGATTTATGTAATTTTACTTTTATAGCTGTTGAGAATTATAAATTTCACATTTTTCAAATATAAACTTATAGCATTAGTGTATAGAAAGCATTACCTGATAACTGTTATATTTTTTACAACTATATGAGTTATATAAATAAGTAAACGATATGTCTTTTACCCTCGACAGCCTGACTTTGACTGACTCTCTTTTTATTCAATGTATTTGTATTACAAATACTAGGTCTGTTCCACGAGCTACTCATAGTAACTTTGAGTAAACACTGTGTATACACAAGCGCGTTCCACCAGCAAATTTTCAAGTATTTTTGTGTAAATTTTACTTCTGTTTTACTCATGTGTTACTATGAGTACCTCGTGGAACAGACCTAATATTTACAGAGTTATAATTATACTACTTTATTATACAACAATAACGGGATCCGAACTTTTGTATGATAATATGTAGATGTTGAAGAAATTGGCAGATTTAAAAAATTTAGTTTATTTAGAAAAAAAAAACTTCCAGACATTTAATTGACTTTATACATATGCATTTTCCAAATAAGCTTAAGTGATTTACATATGGATAATAAAACTTTTTGTTTAAAATTTAATTTGGATTATAATAATAACATTTCAGTTACTCATGCATTCTACTCATGCACTTCCAAAACCACATTTACTTAATACCCTATTAAGACTGTAATATGCTTTTATTTATTTTAAATGAAATTTGAAACTACTCAGCTTATGAATTTCTGGAAACATAAATGCAGCACGAAGACCGAAACTTAATTCCAAAAATAGTAAATGCAATCACATTTTAAAGTTTTATAGAAAAGCAGAGCAGGAAACCCAGCAATTTTCCAACGAAATATAATTTTAAAAATCACTACTTCGAAACAAAACAACCAACTATCTAATATTCCTTATAAATACATTTGCTGTAATACAGCACTATAACATCGCTTAACCGAAAATATTTGAAAAAGGATCAATTCCACTTCACAAAATTTATTTGTTCTGGGAAATGAGCAAGTGCACCAAATGAACACAATATGATATTTCTACTAAAACTAAGCGCAAAATATCAATTAGAATGTAATATCAGAAAACAAAAATAACCACAGTAATTAACGCCCAGTTGCGCTGCAGCCAATGGATGGTTTAACCAAACTGAGTGATGTTCATTAGTTCATAAAGTAATATGTGGGCATATTCTACCCGTTCTGTTTTTAACATTTATAATAGAGATTTTAGTTTTGTTTCTAAATATTTAGTTTCCTTCAATGCAACTAAGATATTTATTTAAAAGTATCTGCACTAATTTTTGCAGTAAATTTATTCAGAACAAGAATTATTATAAATTATAAAAAGGTCATTAGTATATCTTCCTTAATAGTAACCATTCATATTGAAATCAAATTAATCTTGAATTTATAATTTGTTAATTTAGAAAATGTTTTTTCCCTAAACCTTCAACAAAAGAATTTTTTGTGCATTTGAGAATGAATACTTAAGACTTACTTGAGACTTACGATTTCGGACATATATCTGGAATATTTGAACACTACTAGGAAAGTTTATCTAAACAACTGAAATTGTCTCTCAATAACTATATGACAGACGACACCACCAACCATGGACAAGAACTGGGCTACACTAAACGAGCATACCATGATATTTACTGCAGTGGCCATGATATTTCATGGTAAGAAAGGAACTGTTAAACTAAAGTTAATTCGTTGGTTCACACTTGTGAATAAGAGAATTACGACCAACTGCATCATTACCTGTATTTACGGCCATGCGCGGAAAGAATAAACACACGACGATTAAATTTGGTTTTTATGCAAATCTCGAGAAAATCACGATCCCTTGAACAGCATTCAATAATATTTCCGACACTTTTAGCGTTAAGGTCAGAATAGAAGAAAGAGAAAGAGAACAAACCCACTTCCAATAACAATTTAAGGCTAGTTGAGTTCATATTGTCCTTCTTCTTCGCCATATTGGATAGATCTGCCAAGTAACCACCTTATCAATTAAGATGAAATCAGGAAAAGCATTTTTTTTGTGCTCTAAGTTAAGAATTTCAGAGTCGATAAACTTACTTTTAACAAAATTTTAAAACTGACTGAATTATCTGGCGCTTGTATCATCTGGTTAAGTAGCACAGGATTCCATTAAAGCGATATTGTAAGAACTAGCTGAATATAACCTAAAATCATATTGAATACTTCCTGAATATACTCCTGATATAACACATTCTCCCAGTATATTAAGTGTACTTTCTTATCAAAGTCCATACATCGTCCTAGTACATAGGTCTAGTACCATGACCCTATGAACAGATGTAGCTGGAGGCCATCAATCTCACTCAACACAGCTGAAAGAGTCACCGGATTAAACACTTCGTAAATGATGTAAGACAGTGTTCTGGTGTTCTAGACGTGCATTCATGTCGTAGTCCAAACATCCACTTAATACCATTAATACCATTAAACTTGTCGTCACCAATTTGGATTCACGCATGACAGCTGAAGCTTTCACTACTCAACTCTTTAGCAGATTCAAAATGGGTGTTTGGAGTCGTCTAAGTATGTTAGTAACAGAATGGGGCAATAGGTCTAAGTGAATCTTCTTTGGATCGCTGATATAAACTAAATAAGTTAAATAAATTAAATAGTAACATGGTGTTAGATGAGCTGTAAAAGTTAATCTGCGATGTATTTCACTTATATTTTAATCCTTATTCCCTTTTAACAACTTAGTAGTCTAAGTACACAAAGTTTTGACAGAAATTAATCAAAAATTATTGTAATAAAATTAAATTTACTTGAAGTCTAAACTAATTATAAAAATGATGATAAAGTGAATATAATCTTACTTTTAAAAACTAATGGCGTTCGTACCAAGATATTTATGTTAAAGGTTAAACGATAATTCTACTGGAACAACAGTTTTGTCAATAAAATTAAGCTTCTATATTTTTGGTTGAATTTTCACATATCCTAAGATCGGTTTAAAAATATATATGAAAATCTTATATATATTTACATATCTCTTATTATACTTTTGACAGCTGACTCCAAGACTTAACAACCCAAAATAATTTATTAGCACGTGTTTTATCTACTTATAATCACTTAATATAAATTAACCTTTTATCTTATTTACTCATATAAAAAGCAGTAATATATTAAAATGAAATGCACCTTCAGCTAAAATAAACAGTAAACTAAAGACAATCATAATTCTCATTTAAAATACACACAGACGTGTTTTTGCTCTTCGCAAATATAGAATCTAAGGTGTTTGGAGGACAAACGTTCATATCCGAGTACAAATATCCGCTTATAAACACAACCTCATTTGTGCTCGATAATGCAAAGGCCAAAGCTAACCGGAAACGAATAAGTAAACGAAACCGTAAAGGATTAAGTTCGTGCGAAAATTGCCACATTTATTTTTTGTAATTCCTTTTATTTGTTACTTTCGTTTATTTTCATTTTTATTTTTATTAATATTTTCATGTAGTCTTTGTATGTTTTTATTAAGCCTTTCTGCTTAGGGCCGTGCAAATCCTTTTTTGCCTCTCTGCGTTTAAGGATATTGCTTTATTGTTTGCTTTTTTATCTAACACATCATAAACGGTTACCCAAAATATTTACTTAGCAAAAATTAAAAAAATAACAATATTGTGAAATCGGATCAGCACCTTTTTTTGTGTTCCTTAAACAACTTGGAATGGAAGATACTTTTTCTTTATTTGTTTTGCTTGATGTTGTCTAATTTATTCCCTTCTTTCTCATGAACTGATATTAAGTATAAATATTTTAAATACTCAATTAGAGCAACGAAGAAAAAAAGTTAATGCGAAAGGTTTTTAAATCCCCGCAGGGTTAATGCCAATTTAATTTAGAATAACCTTAATGATTAAACTTTATCTACGTCATTATCTAAGCAGAATAGTATAAATAGATGATGAATTAAAAATATAACACATTTGTGTGACGTCAAGATCAGTGGTGTAGCCAAAATTGTGCCAAGGGAGGACATAAATAAAAATTGACAGTGTTTTTGTAATATATTATCTTTCATCCAGATAATATCCTTATAACAAGAACAGATCTAATGTTGCCATGTTCATTGATAGCTAGATAACAATCAAAGTCCTTGAATTATTCAACCCACATTCAAAGACAGTAAAAGAATGTAGAGAGGCTATCAACGAGCTAAACTGTTTGGTTGACATCACCTAATATTTTAGTTATTGGAACATTGAAGAGAACGAAAATGTTGAGCGCTGCCTGTTTATATTATGCTTTAAAACCATTAAGAGAAATATTAACTTCTACGTTCTTCAACTTGCCAATAACCAATAGAAGACACTTAAGTCATGTGCAACTTCCCTGTTAACATGGCCTACCTATAATCAAACTAGATCTTGACTCATCAAAAAATATAGTGAGAATACTATGATGCTTACTGCAGTTCTTTCCGGTTATTGGTGTATAAGAATCCACACAGAGAAACTACGCACTCTTCATACTCGTAATTCTCACTGCAGAAGTTGTGGAAAGCTGCTGGAAACAGAAATCATAGAACACTTTCTTTGTGAACGCCCGACTTAAACGTCCAGAAGGAATATGCTTTCATATCTTCCAGAATTTTTTCTTAACTCGTCTGTTTAGTTTAATTAACAGAAAGTTCACGCCAAGATTTAAGTAATTTAAAATGTTTTATCAGACTTAAAGCGAAGATCTACAGAGAATATATTTTATAAGAAACTTTTAAGTCTCAGACAATCGAATATCATAGTAGGAGGGTTTAAATAGGAGAAGAAAATTCTGCAAGATTACAAGCTTTAACTTCTTATACAATTGAACCTTTCAGTTAGAAAAGATTCAGTTTCAGTTAGGGTTTAAACAGTTGAAGAATATTTTGCAGGGGTACAAGCTTTTAAGTCTTAGATAATTAAATATTTTAATGGATGAGTTTACATTTATAAATATAATTACATTAAGAACAAAAATATTGTCTCCAAAAATAAAAAATATGCTATTAAAATTTAAAATAATAAGGGAAGGTTTCAAATACTCAAAACAACTTCACGGTCAGGCAAAAATTCAATTATTTAAATTATATAAAATCTTTTGTTGTTAAAGGTTACAATATTTTGAAACCTCTCTAACAGTATATATATGTATATAATAGTTTCTATAAGTAAAATAGTCACTACGTAGTAGTCACTTCTACTAAGTAAAATAGTCACTACCGTCAAAACTAACGTTAAATTGCAATTCATTAAATTTAAAATAATAAAAAATATAATTAAAACTTGTCCTTAACAGAAATTCAATTTTTTAATAAAATTTTTGGTAAACAATACTTTGTTTCATTAATATTCCATGCAATCTATAATAATGATGTTAAGGCAAATTTTAATTTGTATAGTAAATATTGTATATACCATACAAATTTGAGTTTTTAATTTCCACAAATAGAGCTAAAAATAGAAAATTAATTAATATGGAAATATTATAATAAAATAACAGAGTTTTAAAATTTTTAAATATGATTTTTAAATTAATTTTTGCCATAATTTTTATTGTAAATTAGTATTAACCGTTTTGCTGAGTTTTTATTTTATGTATGAGCTACGAATTTATCATAACAAAAATCAACTTAATTAAACCGTTTACCTCAATATGTATAATACTATTATATTATATATTTTTTTCTCAAATATTTATAGAGCTTTATTAATTTTATGAAAATTAAATTTATTTTATTTTTCTCTTCTTCACTTTATTCCGCATGCACAATCCTTAAACCACAACGGAAACGTATCCATTTTAACAACCATAACAACTGTTTTGATATATCTGCTCACATATGGCAACATAATGGAAATAAAAAAATATTATAAATTATATGAAAATATTAAATGTGAATATGAAATAAAACAAAACCAAACACAACAAAAACAAAAAAAAAAAAAACAATTGTGCAAAACTTCAATGAACAATTCAACACAACTCTATGGATCCGACTTCGAATACAATGCAAATTAAAAATACACAACTACTCAACGCTCAATAAAACATAAAACCAATTCCATTGAAACAGAGGCACATCTGGCATAGATATTGACTTACGACGTGTTGATATTGACCAGTGCCCACAAAGAAATACGCCTGGAACAACACAGCCTTTGAACATATTTGCTGGTACCGATAAATGCAAGCAACGCACGACCATGGTGAGTACACATAGAATATCTTACAGATACAAATCCCACACTGTCCCATTCGTTGGTATGGGATTTTCCATAGAAAAATGTAAAGATAACTATAGAACGAAATCATAAAAAACTATCTTCAATCATTTTATTTTTTTTTTTCATTTTTATAATTATTGTTTGTATAGTGCGAAGCATTGAAAGGATTGGGCTTCAGACGGGGTTCCTATAAGTGTATCTGTCGTAAAGGTTTTTACTTTCCTGACATAATAATAGCACAAAAATTTTTTAATGGCAGTTTACTGGAGGAAGAATATGAAAAATTAATGTTGGTAAGTTTTTTTCTTGAGAATTTATTCGATAATTGCACTTTAAATGTTAAGCCACTTTCTTTTATGTGAGAAGTAAAACAATATTAAGCTTATTAAGTTTTAAATTTATTCAGTGACATTTACTTAAATAAAGTTTCCAAAAAAAAAAAAAAAGGAGAAAGAAAACACTATAGCAAATCTGCGAACAGAACAAAGCGCAATTACTTAATTGAATTTAAAGTAGCAAAATTTCTATCCTATTACAAGGGCAAGAACTCAACATACAACATAATTAATGAGTATGAATGTCTACCCTGTGCGGAAGGATGCGATTCCTGCGAAGACAGCTCGCCTTGTATAGCAGCACTTAATTGGCCAATGCGTACCAGTATCCTAGTCTTGGCATGCACTGTCATTGGATTGCTGCCACCAGCAGCTTGGTTCACTTTTCGCTATCAACAAGTTAAGGTAATTTTCAGCATAAAATAAAAAATAAAATAAAATATTAAATAAAAAATTTTGAAATAAATTTGTAAAATAAATAAACTTAAAGTCACACTGAAAGTTACTTTTATAGATCCTCATACACACACACACACACACGCACACAAACATATAAATGACAAGTATAAGTCCTTTCCGAAACAGTGGTCTTTGCTTTTCATGCTGTCAGTGTCATGTCTTTAAATCGACCTTGAAGTACAGTTCTACCACAAAGCAGCTTATGTTGGTTTTCCCTTTTAGTGAATTATTTATATGTCCACTTTGTGCTTGGCATATTGGCAGAGTCACGCCCCTTTATTTGTTCTCAAGTTTCTCTGTGACAGCTCATGCTGTGATTCCACAGGATCTGTCACAGTTTAAACAGTTGCAGGTATTCTTGTTCGCAGGACGTTTACTTGTGGTCAATAGGAGAATTGCGGTTTGAAAAGCTGTTGATTCAGTGCAAAGGATTAAACAAGTTGATACAAATGTGTTTATTTTGAAAACAATGCTAAAGGACCGATAGCTATACATACTTGCTATGAAATTTGAAAATGTTGCGCATTGAGTGCACAAGTAATTAAGATACTTTACATTAGATTTTGCTACAAACATATTCCCAGAAAAGTAAATGCTGATAATAAATAAATGCCATATGAATTGTGAATAAATTTTAAAATAAAAATAATAAAATTTAATAATATAAAATTTTTAATTCAATTGATTTTACTGTTCATAAAAACTAATGCTTTCAAATAAAAGTTTTTCTAACAGTAGTGAATTACAACAACAGAATTTTTATTTATATTTAATTAACTGAATTTTAAGCTGACCATACAGCTGTACGCATCATCAGTGGTCATGCAATTATTTCTTATATTTAATTATTCGTAATTAATTTTTTTACATCTGTAAATACGAAGGGTTTAAGTCTTAGTATTTAATGCTTAAAAAAAAAAAATTATAACTTAAATATGAATTTTCCAACAAGATAGTCACTTCAGGTGTAACAACTCCTCTATACATAAATGCGTTATCCATCTTACCCAAATACTTTTCATGAACATTTTAAACCACGTCTACGTCTTTTAAGTTTTTTCCATCTCGCTTATATCGAATAGTGAATTGCAAAGGATTATGTATGAAATAACTCACTCCTGGACTAGAACCAAAAGTGATTTCACAGTAAATCAACGGTTCAAAAACCAAAGAAGTAGTTGGTGCAGGGATATTTGGGCCTAACACTAGAATCTCGGTCGCGTTGTGTATATAGCGCACTGTCTTCCAAGCAGAGGTTAACGCCATCAAGATCTACGCTCATATCAACATTAACAATAGATTGAAAAGCGCCCGTATCTGTATTTACGCAGATAGTCAAGCAGCAATTAAAGCATTATTCTCCTGAAAGTTTTTCTCAAAGCTTCTATTAGACTGATATGATTCGCTACAGCAGCTGGCAACAAAGTGATGCTTTGCTGGCTGCCTGTTCACACAGAAATGAATGGTAATGAGTCTGTAGACAGTCCTGCGAGGTTAGGGTCTGCCATTCAAATCTGTGGACCGGAACCATATTGTCAATTAAGTTGGTTTACTACTAGGTCTCTAATTGATAAATGGTTTTCAACCGAGAGAAGTCAACGGCCGACATTCTGGCTTTAATTCGGAAGGCGGAATGTCTTTTGTTGGGTAAGGGTCTGTTGCAGCACAAAAGATCAACAAGGTCGCAGTGCTCCACTCCGTTGTGAGCAAATATTCCGTTTATTCCTATGTATGAAATAGGAATAAACATATCATAGAAAATTTTGAGCTTAGTTAAAGAAAAGATTCAGTGGTTGCAGCAAAATTATATAAACTTAAAATAGAATTGTAATTATATTTTAATTTCAGGATTGTTACGCCATATATCGTATATCGAATATCAGGGTTAGTATATTTTATTTTCAGTGATATCACTCGTTTATAATCTCGTTCCACATTTCTAAATTTGTGATAATTTTACAAGCAGCAGATCTTACATCCTAAGTCCCTATCGAGTAGTAAATTAACATTGACAGCAATATGTAAATATTTTTAGCATCCAGAAAATAAAGTGGTGGATATAGAAAATTCTAAAAGGAAAGTTTTAAAATGTATGTTAAGAATTCAATATTGCTCTTGTCTGATTAAATATTTAAATCAAAGAAATCTTTAACTAGTCATACCTAAACGTTAATGACGACATGGATAATCGACTGAATCCATAAGATATTTATACACAAATACATACGAATATAATTATTACATTTAAAGCAATAAATTGTATTTTTATGTATTTTATTATTCGAATGTGAGCCATTTTTGGCTAGTGTAAACGCCATATTACTTCCTGAAAATTTAAGAAACAGTTTTAAATAAAACTAAAAAAATATTAAAATGACTTAAAATGATTGAATTTTTATTTTTTTGATAGGTTGTACGTGCGGCGAGTCCAGCTTTGTTGCGTGTAATTGCCTTGGGCGCCTTTTTCATTTACTGCACGGTAAGTTGAATTTAATCCTTTTATTAATTATTAAATCCTTAATGTGTTAATAAAGTTTAATAGTGCAATTTTTGACCTTTAAGCAAAAAATTTTTCTCTTTTTAATAACTGATTTATATCAGATTTATATATACCTATATATTATTAACTCAAGGAAAGAAAAATTCCATATTTTTCGCATTTATTTTTAAAGCTTATATTATCTAAACTTTTGTTTAATCACGTCATTTAATTATTCATAAATAATTATAAAATAAGATTAACCAGCACAGAACAATATAATTTTAACAGTGAATATTATACTGGATTCACACCAGAGCATTCATTGTAATTTTAGCTGTTATTTAAAATTAATCTTGATTTCGATAGCAAATCAAGTTTAATTCTGGATTCACACGAGAGTTTTGTTTGTGTTTTTAGCTAAATTTTGTACTTAAGCCAGATTAGATTAGTTTAATTCAAATTTCTTACTTTTCTTAATGAATCTTAATATATCAGGCAAAAAGAAAAGGAGAGAGATAAGGTACATCTTTCATTCTCAACATATCAAAACCCAACAATCTCCATCCAATTCTGGTGATGGCTGGGCAATAACAGACGAAATACTTTAATACTTTATGTTGCATTCGTCAGATATCTAGATTTTCCGATCGAAAATCTAGATCTTTTATTTTTTAATTACATAAGAAATTTTAGACAGCCCACTGTTAGATTCTTTTACACATTGTGTCATTACCTAGAAGCAATAGGTAAGATAGCAAGTGGGTTTCTATAGATAGATTATAGATAGATCTAGATTAAATAGATTCCTACTGTGAACCATATTATTTTGTGGACAAAATTCCCAAAATAATTAACTCAACGAATAAGTTCTACAGTACATACTGATGCTGCAAATTGAAAAATTAATGCTGGACCTTTAATTGTTCTAGCAGATTCTTTATTAGTCAATTATCCGATTATCCAGTCATTTACGCCATTCTGTAATTTATTATTTCTACTAACTAATGGTAATAAGTTTCATGATTTAAATCCCAAGGATTTATGTTCGATAAAAATTTTGGTTCTCTCTCTAAGTCAATTTATTATTCCAGTAGATAATCAAGTATTTTATCCTCACTGCTTGAGATAACTCTGTAATATTAATTGGGATAGTCTTCTTAATGCGATTCGAATGGTCTTGTTTTCATTTGGTAGGATTCAGCTGCTTACGTATACGAGTGATAGAGTCAAAGTACCTTTGTGGTGTTATTGGTGCTCTGCTTGTATTGTCATCAATGGACACGATAATTGTACTGTCTTCAAATCTATCTCTTATGTATCTCTTTGCTGAGTCACAATGTTATCTATAATGAAACCCATAAGGTATGGCATTGGTTTCAATGATATATAGCATTGGTTTCATTATGCTACCTAAGATAAAGTTGTCGAGAATATATATGAAACATGAAGTTACGTGAATGCAAAAACTACCGACATTAGGCGAATAATTAATTAAGCAATATAGTAAAATAATTGATTTTATAAATTTTTTAAATTCTTTTTTAAATTTTCATTTTCAAATATTTGATTATTTCTGTAATCAACATCTGCACTTGATTTTGATTGACTTAAAGCTAAACTAAGTTTCCAAAATTAAAAGAGAAAGTGACTAAAATGCTATTTGTTCCTAAAACATTTCATGATGTTTTATTTTCTTTTCATTTGGGTATTGGCTATTTTTTTTAAAGAACTATTTTTTATCTTTTCTACTTTCCTTAGGACTTCGTTTTCATGACAATCCCATTGGCATAATAAACTTCCTTTACTATTTCACCACTCAAGACCATTTCAAGTAAAAGTTTTCTCGTTTTCTCGGAGTATGAAACTCCTCTTTCTGGTATTGGCTCTTTGATTTATTATGGAAAGGCTGTCTTCAAGAATTTAAAAAAAATTAATACAAAGCGTATAAGAGCAATGAAATGGCCATGTATATCTCTTTAAAGTAGCCAAGTCACTAAAGGAGAAAATGTATCAATTTAAAGTGCAAAGGACACATCAAAATTCAACTCACGTTGGAAAAACCTTTTTCCTTTCTTCCCTTCTGTTTTTGTTTTCTTTTTTTTCTGTATGCTTTTTTTTATAAAAAATAAAAGGTAAAATGAATGACATTTTTAACAAGTTTTTCCTGTGGTTTCAATATTGAAACCTTTTGTGGTCAAGTATAAATTATTTTTTATATATAAAATGGTTTACAAGATGTGAGTTTAATTTGAATGTGGATAGGAAAATTTAATTTTTTTAAAAAAATTTTTAGATCTATATAATCATGAAAATTGAAATAATGTTTAAAATCTTATTTCAATTTACTTATTAAAAACCAAAATTAAACTTAGCAACCCTGTAAAATGCTAAAAATATTGTCAATGAAAACAGTTTAATATTATTTCATATCTGCTGCAGATATTAATAAATTAAAAAGTTTTGTTTAAAAAAAAAAAAAAATTCACAAGCTGGGTATCTAACATGGCGCTGAGAGCTACCGTAAGCTGAAATTATTAACATATTTGGTTTACTTCATTAATTATAAACTTATAATTTTATATTTAGCAACAGAAGGTCTGCGCCTACATCACTCGCAATTTCCTGACCGCTCACAAAAATATGTTTAATTCCACTGAATTGAGTCCCATGGAGAAACAATTCGGAGCTGTTCGAGACAAGTACGCACTTAAGCAATTCCAAAAGTACGATGGCAAACCAGTATTTTTTAAAGGTGGCTCAACTAGGGACACTGGTTTTAGTACCGCATTAGGACTTTGCGCTATTGGGTTACTATTGGACTTTAAATATCTCAACAGCGAATCGTTTTCTTAAACACCTATTTCATGGATCAAAATCTTTCAGTCATTTTTTCATCCCGCACTCTGTCTAGTATCAAACTTTGCTTAATGAAGTCACAGTTACACATATAAATAAAATGAACTACAGTTAGAACATGGTATAAATAAATTTTGTTTTTTGATTTGCATTTCATAAATAAGCAAAATATGGTAGAAAGTGTTAAAGAATTATTACAAATTATATAAGCTTAAAATATTTAAAAAAAAAGTTAAAAAGTGAAGTAAAAATTTGACATTTGAAAAATTCAATAACATCCCTGAATAAAAGTGTAGGCACACTGCGGTGGTACAGTACGGCACAGCACCGTACGGACTACTGTAAAGCAAATGTTTCACATATTTTTGTTAGTACGAGTACTGCATTCCGATTATTTAATAATAAATTGTTATATATTATTTACTTAAGTTATATTATAATAATAGTCAAACCATTGGAGTTAAATGCATTGTGGTTACTGCGATACATTCAGAATTGTTTTGGTAGCAATACTTGGCATTCGTCATACAAATTCCATAAAAAATATGCTAAATGGGTTTCAAAATACTGTACTTACACTTAGATTTATAGAACTTTTTAAACATATTATTGTATGAATTTTGTTAGTTGAGCTTAGTCGAGCAATAGTCAAAAACAAATATTAGTCTAAGAATTAATATATTGTTACTGTTATTGGGTTTGTTATCTATTTCAATCCTCATATCTTTGTGTTATCAGGAATAGAATTGTATTAGAATTTTTTTATAACTACTTGTACTATGCTTTCAATGTCTGTTCGCTAACGAGGACGTCGACTCAGACGTCACAAACTTTTGTCAATAAAAGCCTACGGCGTATTCTGAACATATGGTGGCCTGCATTAGTCTCCAAGAAAGAGCTATGGCAGCGCACCAAACAAAAGCCAATAGAGAAAAAAAAATAAGATACGCAAATATGGATGACCCAGCCGTACGTTTAGAAAGCTGACAGACGCAATTGCCCACGCAGTCATGAAATGAAACCCGCAAGGAGTAAGTAGACGAAATCGTCTCAGAACCACTAGGCGAAGGTTTGTTTCGAAAACCGAAACAAACAAAACCTTTAATCAACTACGTTCGAGAAATAGAAGCGAATGGAGGAATTTTATAATAACTATTTGTGAATAGACTAACTTCTAAATTTAATTTTTTTTATAATGACGAACATGTCATAATAAATAATAAAATAAATATATATCTGCACAATTCAGCTTATTAAAAATATAACTAAATATAATTATTTATTTATTTCTATTTGAGCCGATGCACTTGAGTACTTTTATTCTTTCTTAACTCGAGGTATTTTCAAAACCTCTCTTTACGCCTTGACTGGATTATTGTTTATCCTCCCCCAGGAGCCTGTAACTATTCTGAGATTTGAAATCTGTTAGTTTTCGCAAATAATTTCGGGGCTCTATCCTATATGTATTTTTTGATGGCATCAATCTTGAGGTCCCTAAGGATGTCATTCGTCCTAATGTACCATGGTACTTTGAAAAGTCTTCTCAAACCATTGTTCACTTCATGTTAATCTTATTTACAAAGGCTTTATAATATTCGACAATATTGTCGTTCCAAAAAATTTCAAATATACTATATGTAATCATCGAATAAAATCAAAATAATTTAAAAAATTACCGAAATACGCAAAATCTTGAAATCTCTTTCTAACTCTTTAAAATAAATTTTTCTACGAAATAATAATTTATTTTTCTTTTTTCAGAACATTGTGATGTACCCAAATCCCAGTCTGTACACGTGTACTGCACGCATTTGGCTCCGGGAAATTGGATTTTCACTAACGTATGGTGCACTCATGTTGAAAACGTGGAGGTAAATCAAAGAAAACGCTAAGAAAATATTTATTTTTAAAATTATTTACAAACATAACCGTCTGTGTATCTGGCACTAAAAAAAATTAAAACAAAATTGAGTCCGTACAAAGTACAAGATTTTTATATTTGTAAAATTGTTACATTTGCTCTAGAAGAGCAACCATGGGTTACAGATACAAAATGATTACCAAATAAAACAGAATTTTCTAAAAGAGAATTTTTTAAAGAATATAATATTTTCGTACGTGTACCTTCGTCCTTGTTTAAATAAACTGAGTAGTATTCATTTAAAATGCTTTACAATCTTACTACAACCCATCAAACATTACGTATAAATACAAATGAATTAAAAAAATATGAAAAGCATTTTTCCACATATGAAAAAATTTCTAAATATTTTTATATAAACAATTTATTATCGCTTAAAATTTTTTTAAAAATTTTTTTGCAGAATTTCTGTTATTTTTCGCGTACGTTCAGCGAAGGCAGTAAAAATCACAGATGCGGCGTTGCTTAAACGCTTAGGAATTATTTGCGGAGTCATTGGTACGTGTTTACTGGTGCGCACCTTGGTTTCACCGCCAGATGTAGTGGTTGGGCGTACTGCGGATGACTTAAAAGCATTTCTTTGCAAAACAGACTGGTGGGACTATACCTTCACATCAAGTAAGTTCAAGACGTTAATAAATTTTTGAACCACAAAAACCATGCGCTTTAGCTTTACTTTGCTTTTAGTTGGCATTTTAAGTGTATTTTATTAAACTAATAATTTTAGTTAGCTACATGGGAAATTTACATATATACTAGTATACAGATACCACAAATATATACATAAATATGTAACTATGTGTGCGTTAGACATTATTTTCAATTTGTGTCATAAACATTTTATAGTTTTGTTTGCAGACTTGATTTATTTGCATATGAACTTCTGTTGCAGATTCGCGTGTTAAACATAAAATAAAATAGTAAAATTTGTATTTGGAATCATTTTCAAAGTTAAGTCGCGTTAAGCCGAATCAACCTAAATAAAAATGTAAATCTAAGCAAATAAAATACATCAAAATATTTGATTAAACACACACACAGACTATACACTGAACATACTACACTAAATGCGGCAGAGTTGTTATCGTAATAGTTGGCAAATAAAAATCACTGACTTTATTTTGCAGAATTAAGCATTAGTATTTACTCATAACGCCTCGTTGCTTTTAAATCACATATATGAGTTATTAATATTTTGCACAAATACTCATAGGTTGGACCCTACCATATTCGAGGGGCTTAGCTGAAATGAAATGTGTCCTTCATAAATTATGTTTAAACATCGAAAATTGTAAATAAAAAATTTACAATAACAAAACATACAAAGATTCTTTTGAAAATAGTTAAAAATGTGTTAAATACACAGTAACTGATTTATAACGGCTGCATGCTGTGTAATTTGTTACATTTCACCTTCTGGCTATGAAATTTATTAGTTAATTTATTATTTTATCACTAAAATATATTCCGTATACATGGTGGAATGGAGTAAGTCCATAATTATGTTATACAGACATAAATTTGATATATGCAAAAGTGTCAAAGGCAAATATGCTGTGTGAATTGGTAAAAATGTTTATTTATTTAATAATCATGCTGTACTTTCATTTAGTTTAGTATTTAGTTGCGATGAGTTATATTTTTAAACCTTGGTAAGGATTTGCAATTTCAGCTTTGATACAAATTTGCACTTAGCAAATTAAATGAATTTTTAAGAGATTATATTTGGTAATTATAAGAGCTCATATCATTTCGCTGATATACTACATTTTGATAATTGGTACAGTTTAACTTTTGCTTTGAATGGAATATTAAATGAATATTCTGATGAGTGTTCGTTTAATCAGTGGTGAATGGAATATATTAACCTTTTAAATAATTTTTAATTTATTCTTGAATATACTCATATGTCAACTTCACAATTTTAATCAAATCATATTCTGTTATCCTAATGTCATCTGCAAGATTGAAAATATCAAATCATTTGAAATATTCTACTGCTCAGGGACCGTAACAGTTATCATAAAAAAAAATAAAAATCATCTTTTAACTATTATCATTCGCATTTTAAAATATAACTCCAAAAATTATGATTAAATTTGCTATATAATTTAAATTTGCTAAAAACTAGACTAAATCTTTACCGGTGCCAACTCTTTAATACATTTTGTATGAAATTACAAAAGCAACTACCTTTTATGAAAATTGCATTTTATATATTCGTTTTAAAAATATTCAGCAGAAATTGCAAGTTATTCAAGATTTTTATATTTATAACGCAAAAACAACTGTTATTTGTGCGTTTTAAAATTAAAAGCAGAATTTTAAGAGTTACTTCTGCGCGAAAAAAATAAAAGGCACATAAAATAATTATTTTTGAGGAATATAATATAAAGCAAATTTAATTATTTTTGGAGTTTTATTTTAAAATGCTAATATATAAAAAGCATGCATAATACTAAGGATTAAAGTTGTTAGAATGATAACTATATACTTAAGTATGAATTTTAACAACTTTTTGTTGTTGCTTTTTTTCATAAAAAGTTTTTAAATAACTGTTATTTTCGGTCCCTGCTTCTGCTATATTTATTAATCATTATAGTTATATATTATCAACTGTTTTGTGTATTAAGTCCTAACATGTTTCCACTGCTTTCATTTATACTATGTTCAGAATATACTATGTTTGAATATAGAGAAAAAACTATAACTGTTATTAATTTGAATAGAGTGAAAAATAAAAATTTACATACCTAAAATTCACTAAAACTAATAAAACTACTAAACGATATCCTTTATAGTTATAATAATCAACTATTAAAATATTCAATATAGAAATGGTTTTTGGAGCATGTAATTTTAACATTCCATTTTTAAATAAAAAAACTTACGATTCCCTTTATTTGTGGCAGTATGAACACTTTCTTAATTAACTTAATTTAATTTTAACGAAATGAAGGAATTTAGCTGTCTAAACATAATTTTAAACAGTTTTGCTCATTAACCCCGCTAATGAGGATAATTTACCATACAAAGAGCTTTCGCATAAATAAGTTCATTATGAATAAATCAACTGATTTGAGGTGAAATATGTAGAAAGCAACCCTTAAATATGAATTTCCCACATGGGAAATTATCAAAACTTATAATGTTTGTCGTATGTTTTAAGTGTAAATATAAGTAAACAAGCTATTTCACATGCTCATGTCAATGGAAACGACCAAGTTGAAAATATTAAGTTTCAGAAACTAAAAGATCGTACAATAACTTATATAGGATAGTGGAACCAAGTGAGCTCAAAAATTGCTTTAATGTTTTACAAGTTATGTGACTTGTCACAGAATATCATAGGACATGTATCAAAATATTGATGCATTGTCGGTTTTTGCACAGCATTAATTTTTTCTGGTAGAACAACTGATATCTGGTAACATAAGACGTTAAGTGAATAACTCTAAAAGTTAGAGTTGCTTATATTAACAAAATTAAAAATTGAACTTATAGTCAATATAATATAAATTGCGTAAATAATCACTATTTATAACAGTAAACTACTGCTCTTTATACACAGTATTTGAATAATAATATTCCTCTTTTATTTTAAGTTATTAACTAAATTCTCTAAAACTTCTACTAAGTAAGAAGACAAATATATTTTTTATCAAAAAAATTATCTGATCTAATAGAATATCAATTACATAAAAAGTAATATAAATATAATTACAGCGCGAAAACAAGTGCTTCCGAATACCTTTATTAATTTTTCAGTATAATAAAAATTAGAATAGAAAAACATTAACTTTGTTAATGAAATAAATTAACACCTACAAGCAGAGGCGAGCCGTCGAATGGTTCAGAGTGTTCACCGAACACCTTAACAAAGCTTCCTTTTTAGATCTTTTTTATCTTGCTATTTTGCTACTTAACATTTTTTATAATAGCTTTTCCAAACAGATTAACATAAACACAAAACGTACAATACAAACAAAATCACACATATGTTAGTTACACCCAACATTACTTATAATTAATAAAAGAGAAAACACATTCCTCTTAAAATATACTAAGGTTCAGATAAAAACTGCACCGCGTTGCTTACAAAGCATGCAAATGAAATAACATTCACATTGGGATTATGTTCAATATTGAATAAACACAAAACATACAAACAAATATTAATATAAAAGAGAAAACAAGCCCCGCAAAATATGTACGTAAAATAATTATAACTCTTAAATTAATGCTTGCAAGCGGTTCAACAAAAAAAGTGAACCTCCAATGTTATGCAAAGTAAATACAAAAGAGAAAATAAATGACTGAGCGAAAATCGCTTTACATTTGACAACAGGTTCAGTCGACCAAAATGAACCATAAGTTCATACAAAGCGTGCAAATACAATCAAAGTCACGGTTGCCGTTTTATATGGGCAAATGGTTCAATAAAAAAATTAAACCGCTCATAGTAAATACAAAGTAAAAGAGTATATGAATGCATGAAGTTTCTTACTCTTATATAGAGGTTGGAAATAAACCAAAAACAAAGTCCTAATTGCAATTTTATGCTAGCAAATGGTAAAAGTAAAGAAAAAAATTAAAGAAATTTGAAGTGAAAAATAATATTTAGAAATGGATAAATGTGTGATTAAAGATTTGATTCAAGTATCTTTTTTTAAACGATCTTCTGAAAAAAAGGTTTTAATTCATAAAATGAATAGTCCAACTCCAGATGTGAAGAATTTGGTACCTGATGTAACAATGTCGAAATCTGTGGTAAGTCGCCATTTTCCTTCAGCTATTTACCATAAAAACCAGTGGATCACAGGCTGCGAACATTTAAATAAATTGTTTTGTTGGTCTTGTACGCTATTTGCTTGTGGAAAGACAAAACTCAGGAGTAGGAGGAATACGTTATAGTTGGAATTCTGTTTGGATCAAATTGTGAACACCTTGCCAAAAAGCTGAGGCCTCGCTACTGTCTACAAGATAGATATTCAATATCTACCTTATATCACTGTTCGTGACCTTAACCTTTTGATATTTTATTTATTATGATTTTTTTATTTTCAACACACAAAAACCTCATCCAACTACAATTCAAGAATGTTTTGAGTTTCGATACTATAGTTTTTCTCATCCCGTTCTATATCAAGCAAAAAAAAATTGTTCAAAAGTCCGTATGACAATAATTTGACTTGGTAAGCATTGCATTTGATAAGACTGCAGTATCCTAAAATTCGTATTCCCAAATATGCACACTCGTAAAGAAATGTGCATATGTTGAGATATAAGTGGAAAACCATTAATATATGTACACAGGACTACATTAAACAGAGTTAAAGCACACAAGAGTACATTTTTGAAAACATGCACGCAAATACTTGGACAGAGGATCTCACTGCACCACACTTTTCATGTACCTTAATTAAATTAATATTAAATTTTATGGTTTATAGTTTACTGCATGAAGCAAGATATTAATACAGGGTATTGCAGCTATTTTAAAAGTTTAAATAAAAGTTTTTATTAAATAGATTTATACTTTGTTCAGACAGCCAAATTTCCTTAATTTCGTAAAAATCAAATTATGTTAATTTTTAAAGGGTTCATACTGCCTCAAA